CCCCCAACCCCCCCCCCCCCCAAAAAAAAAATACTCATCGCTACACCATTTTACTAACTGTACTCTCGCTGTCGCTACTCGTCGTCCTGCTCGTCGTCACCTCTGTCGTCGATCTAAATCACTTCGAGGATTAATCGTCGAGCGATGTACCGCGTGGCCTGTATCGAGCAAGTGAGAACAAAAACGAATCGCCGAAAAGTTGTTGGAAACTTGGTTCGAAGATGAGAGCAGCTACGATATTTCACGTGCTCAAACGTCTCGCAAGGGTGGAGCCTTTCGCGCAAGATAGAAACCCGAGGATCCGGTTGAAATTCGTTCGAGAAAACGAGGGCCCCTTGATCTATCGCGTTTAACTATCGTCTCGACGTCTAAAAGGTTTCGAACAAAAACAGGAGATTTTTGGTGCTCCTTATTGGAATTTGTGTCGCGGAGGAACGAAAGATCACACCCCGCGAAACGCGGAGAGAAACCATCGGTGAGATCGAAGCAACGCTTGTTTAATTCGCGTCTGCTGCTCTGAACTCCTTTTCGATCAGGCGACTTGACATATTTATAAGACACAGAAGGTGAAATCCGTCGCTCGCGACGGAGTTTCTCTTTTGACGACAGGACACTCGGGAATAAGTGATCAAACGACGCGACGCGTCACAGCGCGACATTACGTCGAGTACACGGTGTGGTTGTGCGCTCTCTCTCTCTTTACGTCCTCCGCGAAGGACGCTGTACATTATTCAGCAACGTTTGCTCGGGCTCCGACGATTCCGGAAGTTCCGGGCTGAAGTTTCGATCGCCGGAGCATCGACAGCCGGTCTCACTCGTCTACGAGACGAGTGGTGAACGTTGTACAAAATTGCTATAAATTATCGTATCGATATTAATCTTGTTAAGATTTAAGATAGCGACAAAGGGAGTTGCCGAGCCTTTTGGCGAATTTTTCTTTTACCCCGTTCCGTGTTTACCTCGCCGGGATATTTCGAGAACAATCGATTCGTCTTTGCGCCACGATTAATAGGGTGTTACGGTAAACCTCGAGTTTGTGGAATTTTTGCGCACAAATTGTCACTTCGAGTGATTTCCCTTTTGATAATTCGCGGTAATTCAAACACGTGGATAAATATGGAATTCATTGTTTGTCAGTCGGTTCGCGATTCGAATGATTTTTCATACGAGAAATTTGTGTCTTTAAGTAAGCAAAGCCTTGTGCTCTTGTGAAACTGTTCGAAGAGATCGCGTATCCTTTACTCCTCTTCGTATTCTTCTATAAAGTATAATTTTAAGCAGCTCGAACCACAGTTTGCAAATACGGTATAAATCAAAGCGAAGCACGATTGTGCATTAATGATAAAGTTACTCGCACCGCAATTTCCATTTTAAGTAACGAAGATAATGCAACAATTTGTATTCACGTTCGCCGGGATAAATACACACGTGGGCCTCTCTGACGTAAAAATGTTGATCGAAAAATTGAATCCGCCGAACTGGGACAAGATAATGAGGGGTTGATGTATGGGAAAAGTTACGTTGTTAAAGCGCACCCTCTGTTTCTTACCGTCTGCGCTCGATAGCAGCTTGCGTGCCTTCGACTGTCAATAACAAACAGCTCCGCTGGTACGGAATTTTCTTTCAAAGCATCAAGGCTTTGCGATCCGCGAAACGCTTTAAAATTGCTTCCGCTAATCGATTAATCAATTTCAATTACCCCCATCTCTCTCTCTCTCTCTCTCTCTCTATCTGTACAAATCGTTAAAGCATAAATCGAACCCGGATCGACCGGGTTAGTCGAACGGAAAAGAGAGCTCGGTTGCTAGAGCAGTCGACGAGCAAAGTGAAAATTTCAGCGAATTAGTTGAAGGAACGACCACGATACACATGCCACACCGGCTACTGAATAAATTCGCGATCGTTATTAACTATACCATCGAATCTATTTGCCAGTATCGCAACGATTCTACTCCATGGAAATTACCCCCGGGGAAATACCTGGCCGGGTGAGGATCGAGGACGGTTCCTCCTCTCTCTCTACGATCCTCCGGCCCGCCTCGAAGAGTTCGAATTTCAATTCCGACGAATACAATTTAAATCAGTCCGGGTACGTCGGATCGATCGAAATTTAAGATTAATCACGCGGTCGCGGAACGGGGTAAAATGTCATTGTTAATATCAGGTAGAAGGAAGGGAGGGGAAACGGGGAGCGTATCGATTGCGAACGATATGCGAGGGAACCGCATCGCGGTTCACCCTGCCACGC